ATCAGAAGTAGTGTGATGGCTCCATATAGATGTTAGGTGATGAAAGATGATCAGAAGCCTTCTGTACATAAAGGTATAACAGTAGTGCATGCACACATACACCCTGCCCGCAAAAGGGGAATACAAGCCATCTGCAAGTAAGCAGACTGGAAATTAGAAGGAAGTTTCTAGCCAACAGAGAAATGAAATTCTAGAAGAGCCTAAGAGTAACAGAACAAAAACTTGTCTGCTTTGCTATGGATTTTCCCCAACTTATAGAAAAGGGGGTATGACAGCATTATACATGAAAGCAGAGTACAAGACTTGATGCTCAGAGCTCTTACTTCGCACGTTCTGGAAGCTGGTTTGGGTTAACTTCAGTGCAAAAAATAGTCTCTTCCTTCTGGACTGACTACACATATGCAGATCCAAAAATTTTAAATATTAAGAGGGATAATGTTATCCTACATGTATGCTGGCGTTGTTGCTAACCTGAGCAACAGCTAACCAACAGTTTAAGAAAAAAAATCTTCATTCAAAGCTTATTAAAATGAGTGGGCCAAGCAGCAAAGTAGATCTGCACTCTGTTGTTCAATATTTACAATGTAAAACAGCACTTTTCATTTGCATCAGTATTAGATGTTCTTCTGCTCAGGTGAAATATTCACTCTCACTGAGCTAAAAATCAAACTCAGATTTTAGTAGCTCTGAGTCACATATCAAACCTTCCCACGTACAGCTGAAAGATAGTACCCATTCCCTGCCCCCCCAGCATATCTTCTGTTTGAAGACTGCATGGGATGGAAATTACCTACTTCAAAATTCTTTTCTAATATTTTCCTGTAATACAGCAGCAAGCCAAGCGTATCCTTACATCTTGTGCCCTGCTGTCAAAGAGCTCATTAAAAAGAATAATTTACAAGCTGAATTCAAGCATATTGTTTCCCTTTTCCTGATTCTGATAACCTTAATGGCTTGAGAGAATCTCAAAATGAGCTACACCGATCTCCACTACAGCGCAATGTATGCTTAACATATGTGCACAGTAGTAATATTCCTTTTCTAGCATTTGCTGTCCTAAGACTAAAGGACAAAAATATACAAACACGTTTTGCAAATAAAATATTCATGACCTTCTTTTTTTTTTTTTTTTCCTATTCTTGAATTAAATGTTAAATCTCTTCCTAAATGCAGATCCTCAGCTACAATCTAGTTTCTTCCTTCCAAGGTGTGCAAGGTGTTTTTTTTTTTCCTCCTATTCTTGAATTAAATGTTAAATCTCTTCCTAAATGTAGATCCTCAGGTACAATCTAGTTACTTCCTTCCAAGGAATTTCCCTAGGGCACTGAAAACAAACTAGCCTCAGCACCTTTGAGACCTGCATGGCAAAATAGTAAATTTATTCTTTTTAGAAGGGATAAGCCAGCCCAAGTCAGGCCATTTCTACATTCCCCATCTCTACTTTCACTCAGAAAAAATAGAACAGGTGACAGTTATCAATAGTTAACAGTTTCTCAGAAATTCCACTCAAGACCAAAATAGTTTTTAAACACAGATTACATACATATAAAGAAAAAAAAAATCTAATAAACTATCAGTTACAAGGGTTAACCCTTTTGGGATTTCAGTCTAGACTTCTTAAAACCCTTTTTGTTAGGAGATTACTCAGGAAAGCAAGCCAGTCTTTTCTTTGTAAGATACTGTACTAAACCTTTCCACTTCTTTTGTGACTTTAGCTGAAAGACAAAAAACAAAACATAAGGAAATGCAAGAGAAAGGAGTCATTTCACACAGACAAAGTCAGATGAATGATGGAGTTTGAGTCACAATTTAATCTCTGCAATTTAATCTTTGAGCCAGGCCCCTGACATCCAGGCCAGGAGAGGAATTGAAATACTGTACGTACTTGTTTGCTTGAGTTTTAGAAGTAGGTGCATGACTATAGTCTAAATAACATTCTATTCCCACCTATACAGAATTGATCTGCATAAACAGAAGAGAAGGGGTGAGCACTTTATTTGTGGAGACTTCCTTTTGTAAAGCTCTAGTCTTTGTAGCCACGAAGATATTTAAATTAGAAATTTGCTCATACATTTATAAATATGCACATGTAGTTGAAAACTGTTTTTCTTTCTTTTTTTTTCCCCCCCCTTTTTTTTTTTCTTGAGCAAATCTTAGTACTTAAATTCACTCTGTCCTGTGCATACATCCCCACTTTAGGGATATTTAAAGGAACATTAGTAAAAATTTCAGCCCTTCTGATTTTTTCCTCTCCACAGCAAGTGTTTTAGCAATTCCATTTGCAGAGGAGAGCCCAAGGGAGACAGGAAAGCAAGAAGTCAAATACAGGAAGGGCACATCTGCTCCTGCCATGGAAAATACAAAGAATCGTTAACTTCTCAGCAATATTACTAGGCCCTTTACCACAGTTAGAGAAGTAAACACATAAAAGAAGAAAGCCCCTGGATGCAATTTTATTAGAGGTAGGCTGCCTCTGGCCCGAGACCCATGTCACCCCATGCCATCCTCTTTGCACCCCTGAGGGCCATGAAGGGACTTACTAAGAACTACTGCAAATAGCAGGGGATTTTTTTGTAGGCTTAGAAGCCAGGAGGAAACTCATATGCCCTTGTTATGATATAGGAAATGACATTTGGGTATGGTGGACACACAGGAAAACAAAAGATGTAAAAAAAGAACGGAACAGACGCAGCATACCACGGGCTTATCTATCCCACTCATTTGCCCCAACTTACACCAGGCCAAGAGCAGATAAGCACTCCACAGCTGCATACAAACCGCTATAGCAAAGTTTAGCCTTTGAACTATACCACAGTTATCCCCACCACCAGATCAAGCATGCTTTCCCTTACTCACCAGCATTAGTGCTGCTAGACTCTTCCACACAAGACAAAAGTGTGCAACAAGTTTTCTTTTGTTAAGGCCACAATACAGAGGTCAAAGGTCTAGAGAAGAAAAGATTCTATTCAGGTTAAAACAGAAAGGGAATACATCTGTAAGCAAGAAAGCTCCATAAAACACTAACAGGACTAAAATTAGAACAGCAAATATTTGACTAACCTAACAAACAAACACAAAAGTTGTGAAATCAAGAACAAATGAACAAAAAAAACCCTTCCACTTGTTAGAGCTTTAGAGATAAGCATAAGGAACTATTGCTATTAAAGCCTTCCAAGACTTCCACAGTCAAAGAAAGCTATCACTCTGAACAACGAGTTTAAAAACTTGCTACTTCATCTTTATAGGACTCACCCTTGTGACTGAAAAAGAGCTCTCTTCCAGGCACAGGTTTTATCATTTTCTCTGCAAAGTTCAACAAATCCAGAACAGCTGGGATGGTGGGCTTGGGTTTCTACAGATAGTGTTTCCTCCCCTCCTTCTTCTTTATGTTATATTTCAAGGACTTAGGTTAGCTTAGGAAGATTTTATTTCTTTTCTTCTCTTACTTGTTTTTTTATACTAACAATATGAGTCCATGTCCAAAAAATGTAATTTACAGTGATATTTGAAAATGCCCATTTTAGAACTTTATTAAGGGGTGCAATAGCTTCAAGAATATATTCTTAAGGTTTTTCTTTTTTAATTATAAAGCAATAATTAATAAAATAAATAACCAAAACCATAGTACTTGTTAAGCCTCTGTCTAGGGTTGTATCTAGGTGACGTGTGCTTTATTCAGTCCATACTTAAGAGCTACTTCAGTCTCTAGAGTCGCTGCACTATACACTGTGCAGAGTCACTGCACTCTGCAGTCAAGCACCATTTTTACATTTAGAAGATATTACAGTTGTAGAAATACATATTAGTAACAACTTATTAATCACAGCTATTTTTACATGCACTTAATACTTAAACTTCATGCAATTACACTGAGTTTGTTTAGGGAAATACTCTAAAGCTAAAAAAAATATGTCTAAGCATTATCTCTTCTGAGTGTGTGATGCAAGAACATACTCTTACATTCAACAAGTCGAGGAGACAATCTTTTTGTTCAAAGAATATAACTTTTTCAGCAAAATAGTTAATCTTATTCACTTTAGGCATATGGACTTTTGTGAAGACATTATATGGAATGTGCCTGACTCATCAAATGGAAAATTTCAGATAATAGGAGGTAAACTTATACTTTACTTATATATGTAAAAAGTAGCATGTAGAGACTTTTTCAGCTCTTTTCTGTTTATGTTTGTGTGTGTAATGCTATTGATCTGTTGAGAATGGAGAAATGTTAAAAAAGTAAAAAGACTGTCAGAACATAAAAAAAGGAATTTTTAGTTGGAAAACTATAATCTTTTGGGGTGTTTGCTTTTTAATAAGGTCTCTAAGATGCGATGCAATGCAATGTTGTCAGCTCTCGCAGAAACATTCTAAGTGTTCGCATACAAGACACTCCTATTTTGTGCCCGCAGAAGCACTCGGGCAGGAATGTTCAAGGCACTAGGGCGTGGGAGCTCACCAAGGCGGGTGGAGAGCAAGCTCACCCTCCCCACGATCCTCTTTCCC